GTTTTGAGGGGGACTTGAAGTACTTGCTGTAGATGAACTATGGATTGTATCTCGACATCAGGACAAAATCCTCATAACTGGGCCAAAAATCTAAAGTTGTAAATGTTTTCATCTTACTTGGATCCACAATCAATATCCTTGGTACCAGGAGTTAAGAAATCAAAGCAAAAACTGCTTTGGTAAAATCTACTGTCAGAAACCTCTCCAGAGTACTAAAGAGTAAACATGTCAGTTTAAAGACTATGGTGTGCCTAACCCAAGTCATGGTCTTTTCAATTACTTATGAATCTGAAAGTTGGGGAATGACTGAGGATAGCAGAAGAATCGCTGACTTAGAGTTGTGGAATTGAGGAAGAGTACTGAATATCCCATGGCCTGCCAGGAGAAAAAATAGGTTTGTTCTGGAGAAAGTGAAACCAGGGTGATCCTTCGAGGAAAGGATGGCAATACTCCGTATTACACACTCTGACCATGTTTTAAGTAGAGGCCAGTCCTTGGAGAGGAACATCATGCTTGGAAGAGCAGAAAGTCAGTGCAAGAGGAAGATCCTGAGGAAAACAGATTGACAGAGTGACTGTGGCAACGGGGTCAGGTGTGTCAGAGAATGTGAGATTGGCTCAGGATAGGCCAAAGTTCACAGCTGTTGTTTACAGGGTTGCTATAAGTCATAGCCAACTCGATGGCACGTAGCAACAAAGCAGCAGTACACTCAATAGAAACTATTCTTCACAGGAGACTTCACTGCAAGACATGATAATGTAAACTGATTTTACAAAATTCACTTACACTTTCATATGTAGTCAACCACAGGTTACATTTTACCAGAACAATAATGCTTCTGCTGTTGTTAGGAGTCCACTACAAATCACAGCCACACTATGAACAACAGATGGAAACCACGCCTGATCCTGTGCCATCCTCATCCATGCTTAAGCACTGTTAGTCACTGTGTCAATCCATTTTGTTGAGAGTAATTTCCTGTTTTGCTCATCTTCTATGCTTGCTGTTGCTAGGTACGGTCTAGTCAAGTACAATTCATAGTGACCCTATGTACAAAAGATCTGACTCTTGTTCTATTCTGTGCCATCCTCACCATCTCTGATATACTTGAGTCCAATGTTGCTGTCACTGTGTTAATTCTATCAATAAGGTTCCTCCTCTCTTTTACTCCCCATGCTTCCAAGCATGACAACCATTTCCAAGGTACAGCCTCTGCTAGCAACATGTCCAAAGTCTAAGCAAAGAACTTTGTCATCTTTGCCTCTAAGGAGCACTCTGGCTGTATCTTTTCCAAGATAAACCTGTTCCTTCCTTTGGCTTATAGGTAAGGAACTGTGCTGTCAATCCAAAGATATGCAGTTTTAATCCAACAGCTGCTCTAGGGGAAAAGATAAGCAATCTCCTCCCATGTGATTTACTGCTTTTGAAAATCTCCTGGAGGGAGGGTCGGCTCCAACTCAAGGGCACACAACAACAACTACCTTTCCCAACCTACCTACCATCTTGCCCAGCATGGCATCTTTTCCAAGGTCTGGTCCATCCTGGCCCAAAGTACGTGAGACAAAGTTTCACCATCCCTGCTGGGAACGCACTGACTGCACTCCTTCCTTCCTAACTGTAAATCACACAGGACGAGACTGTCCATCTGCAGAGTAGTTGGGAGATCTGAACTGTGTGCCTTTGGGTTGGAAGTACAGCTCCTTAGCACTAGGGCATCAGAGCCTCCTTCCTCCTTCCTAACTGGACTGTACTCTATAACTCAAGTTCATTGTCATCAAATCTGAACCAACCCATAGCTGACCCTTCAGTGGATTTTCAGTGGTCATAAATCACACAAGCAGAGACTGAAGGATTTGAACCACCTGTCTTTGGGTTGGTAGCCCAGCTCTTCACCCACTAAGCCTTAAGAGCTCCCTTGAATGTTGCTCTATGGTGTTGTTCTGTAGCATAAAATCAGAACTAATTCATAGCTATTTTCAGAGGCAATAACTGCACACGAAGAGACTGCCATCTTTCTCTCATAGAGCAGCTAATGGATTTGAACCGAAACCTGGTACTACAACTCCTTCCTATACATCAGAGCTCCCAAACAGTAATATGTGGGCAGCTAAATAATACAAGAGTTCTGCTGGCCGTGTTAACACAATGGTCAGTAGTTCAAATCCACTAGCTGTTCCTTGGGAACGGAAGGACAGGTGGTGTACTTTAAAAAAAAAAAAAAAAAGATGTACAGTCTTGCCTTAGGATAAAAGTTTGGAGTTTGTACAATGTAAACATTTGATAGACCAAAGCAGTTTTTAAAGTGGATTTCAGAGAACTAACAACAACAGTCTAAAAATGGCTGCTGTTGGTTGCTATCAAGTAACATGGGCTCAAAGTGATCCTATGAACAACATAAATGAATCCTGTCCTGTGCCATCCTCATCATGTGATACACCTGAGGCCGCTGCTGCAGTGGCCATGTCAGTCTACCTTACTGGGGGTCTTCCTCTCTTTCGTTGACCCTCCACCTTTCCAATCATGATGTCCCTTCCCTAAGAAGTCTTCCTAGCAACAAGTCCAAAGTATGAGATTAAAACATCATCATCCTGGCCTTCAAGATTTAATTACATTAAGTAGATTTTGTTAACTGGGGTAGTACCTATGTTAAAGAACATGTGAAGTCTATTGTGTATGCTGCAATTTAAGCATGTTCTGTGATCAGCCAAGAAAATCAGTTCTAACCTACTTTCCTACAATATGATGTCAGTCACAGTCACTGCTCTTCTTTCAAAAGGAGTTACTCTGAAAAGGATCATTTTGTCAGTTTCCAGAAGAATTTCAAGGTAACACAATTCCTTATTTTAAAAGGCAAGAGCCATGAAAATAAAACCCACATAATTACTATGCATACCAAATCAGAAATACTTCCAAATATGTAACTAACAACCTGTCTTCCACTAACGATTGCTTCTCAAAGGTTAGGACATAATTACCATCTACAAATACTATGCTCATTACAACAAAAACGAATAATGAAACAAACTGAAAGTAGATGAAAATGGTATGGAGCTTTGAAGAACTTTAGGGGAATTTTACTTATTCAATTTATTATTTTCAATTTGTTGTTTTGTTGTTATGTGCCGTCGAGTCGCTTGCGACTCATAGCGACCCTATGTACAACAGCCCTAAACTCCGCTCTGTCCTGTGCCAATCGCACTGTCTCTGACACTCCCATCCCAATTATCCCAGTCACTGAATCAATCCACCTCATAGAGGGCCTTCCTCTCCTGCGCTGTCCCTCCACCCTCCCAAGCATGATGTCCCTCTCCAAGGACCGGTCTCTCCTCACATGTCCAAAGTATGTTAGACGGAGCCTCAGAATCCTTGCCTCCAAGGAGCCACCCGGTTTAACCCTTTCCAGGACAAATCTGTTTGTTTTCCTAGCTGTCCATGGTATTCTCAATACTCTTCTCCAGCACCACAGCTCAAAGGCATCAGTTCTCCTTCTATCCTCCTTGGTCACTGTCCAACTCTCTGACGCATAACAAGTGGTTGCAAAGACCATGGCCTGTATCAGACGCACCTTAGTCTCCAGACTAACACATTGTAACATATGTGTACAACAGAACACATTTTCAATTATTAAAAAAAAACAAAACACAAAACCCAACAACCCACTGTTGTAGAGTAGATTCTATCTAGCTCATGGCAAACCATCCATCAAGTTTCTAAGGCTGTAAATCTGAATGGGAGCAAATTGTCTCATCTTTCTCCCAAAAAAGCAGCTTGTGAACTTAAATCACTGATCTTTTAGTTCACAATTCAGCATAGAACTCATTACAATTTTGTAAATTCAGAAAAGAAGTGCAGTTGTTAAATCATCACATAGCCTGTGAGAATCTTACTCAACTTTTAAATCTTAATTTCTATTCCAATTTTTTAGAAGACTCAAGAATCCAAAGGACTTAAGGAAGTCTATTCCACAGTAAGACTGTCTTACATCATTTTGAGCATAGGTATTAAAATGAATACACAGAATAATTATGTTAAAAAGCAAAACTATCAAACAGTATTTGTCAAGTGCTCTATTTAAAATGGTTATTAAATACGGAAAATGAGTGTTCAAATTTGTTCTCATTAAAACATAAACAGAAAAAAAAATTAAAAAAAACAGAAAGAGAAAAAACTCAGCTGATGATTTAAATAAAGCAAAAAGCAGAACATAATCTTTAAAAAGCAAATGAGACCATTCATAAACAGAGGCTAAAATGTAGTTACTTTTTAACTATGTTATCTAGATAAAATATTACCACTAGCAATTAAGTACCCAAATGAAGAAAAAAACCTCAAAACTTTACTTCCGACAAAAATGTAACTATTCAGATATCACTTTAGCTGTCCCTCACATCAAAGCCAACAAATTCCCGCTGTGGCTTTCATAAATCAAAACATTCTCTAATCCATCTTAAAGGCAAACTGCAGGCATTTTGTATCATAACAAGTTTCCTGCAAAGAAACAACCAACCTGATGACAGGTAGAAAACACAAACTAGGTGCAATGAAGTTAGTATCTATGGCTGAGTAATAAGGGATGAGGAAATTTATAAAGTCAAAGATTCCTGGGTGGGAAAAGGGAACACGAAGACGCATGGTTCCATAAACGAAGGAAGTCTAATTGGATCAGAGGGAACCTAAAATGTCATGGTCAAGAATTAACACACGGAAGGCCTGTCTCAAAAATAAACAAAGCAGTTGCTCACAGGAAACTTTCAAGTGGACAAGAAGGGAAATATTCTTTGGTACCCATAGGAATCAATCCTCACGCTCCTCATCCTCCACCCGGCCCATTAATTACCACGCTATTACTGAATGGGTCAAGACCCGGCCATTTGGCACAGATCATGTGCAAAGTGGAGAAAAACAAGGATCTACTGGAGGGGAGTCTAGGACATCAGGGTACGAGGGGAGGCACACCCTAGGCTGGAGGAAGAAGAGGTGGAGAGGGGCTAGCTCCTTACCGTGATTATCTTTCTGCCCGATATTATGAGTGCGGATGAGAGAGGACAGTCTCCTCACATCCCCCTTGAAGACGCACTCGTGCACTGGGTAGTGTGCAGGACAACTACCTTCATCTGCGACAACAGTAATGGGACTTGTGGCCCCTAGAGCAGTCGGTGACTGAGGGGTTCTAGTCAGCGAGGAATTGTGCAGCGGCAAAGCCGGGGCTCCTGGGGGGTTGGAAGAGGCCGGCGTTGCTTTCAGCTGCAATCGATGGTGATGGTTACTGAAGATCTTAAGACAGGCTTTGCCGCCCTTGCCGCTGCCACCGATGCCGATCCTGCCTCCCGTGAAGGTGCCGCCGAGGGCGGCTGTCGCTTCCTCATCCCCAGGCTCCAGGAGGTCCCCCTCCTCTTCTTTGCTGGGCTTGTGGTCCCTCCGCAATGAGCGGATCTTCTCCCCAGTCATCGCCTCCGCCAGGGGCAGGAGGAGGATCCCGGAGGCTCACCGCCGGAGACCGAGCTGGCGCTGCGGCGGCACAAGATGATTAGAGCGGCAGCCAGGAGCCCCCAGCGCAGCATGAACACCCAGAGCGTCCCCTAGCCCGGGACAAACGCATCTCCCAGAGGAAGAGCCGGCTCTCACCTAGGCACGAAAGAACGCGCACTCGCTGGGGGGAGCTAGAGCTTCAAGCGCCCACGATCGCGATCCCAGTCCCCGTAACTGCGGCCACCAATATCACACCGAAAACCAGGCCACAGCCATCTTCTCCTAGGTCCTCTCGCGAGAGCTCTCTAGAGCGTCAAGCGAGAAAGGAAACACCGCGATAAGTGAGAGCAGGACTCCGGACTGTTCGCACCTTCTTTTCCCAGCGTCGTCTCCTGCTGGTTAGCGTGCTTCGTCGCTGATAGGAAACTCCATTCCATATGGCAAATCAAGCATGGAAGCCCGGCCCTCTAAGAGCCTGCGTTTATTATGGGCGGTCTGCGCACGTTATAAACAAGGATTTAAGTCCTCTGGCCTTGGGGCCTCCCTGTGCAGAAAAATGTCAGTGTACACAGGATATGATGTCACGGTGAGACACATGAGACATTCATTCAGTAAATATGCAGCAAGCATCTAGTTTGTGCCATACACTTATTTAGATATTCTAAAAATTAACTGCTGAAGAAATGAAATCACAACTGTACAGGTTGCACCAAAAAAAAAGGGTAGGTCTTTGGTGGTAGTGAGTCTACCACTACTAATAGCGGTCCTATGAATAACTGATGAGAACCTTTCCAATATTCTGCGCCCATTATTGTTACTGGTTCAGTCCATCTTGTTAGCCATCGTCTTGCAACCGATGATAAAGTAGTGAAAATCTAACTCTTAGAACAGGAATATATGAGTAGGTATTATTTTCATTACAAGAGTCTAGAATGAGAGCTGCTTGGTGGAGGGGGCGAGGGTGTGTGTAATTTAATATAATAATGAAAGGTGTTTGTTTTGTTTTGTTTAGGGTTTTTTGTTTGTTTGTTTGTTTGTTTTTACTTTTCAAAGAGAAAAACCACCCGAAGGAGGAGTGGGCAGGGAGAAAAATGTGCAGAAATGAACGAATGGAAATACAAAAAATAAAAAGTAAAAACACAACACACACACACACACAAAACCCAACCATGTAGCATTGGAAAACTGGCTGCTTTTCTTAAATACCTTGTAGCAGTTTAAAGTAGTATTTTGAATGATCTTTCCTAAGAAGGCTTCTGATTCCAGGTAATAGATGGGATTGTTATTGTTCTGTGCCTTGAGTCAGAGCAATCCATGGCTGACCCCTGAGCCGGTATTCAGAGGCAGTAAATTACATGGGAGGAGACTGCCCACCCTTCTTCCGCAATAGATCAGATTATGGGGGGTTAATTCCTCAATTAACAAATGTCAACTTTAACTTCTTGAAGCGTGTTAACATCAGAGTTCTCAAAAACCTCTTCACAACTCGCAGTGTAACCTAGGTGGTAGTGGCTGTTAGATGCCATCAAGGTCCAAGTATGACTCATAGACACCCTATGAACAGCTGACCTGAACCCTGCCCTTTCCTGTACCATCCTCATCATCTCTGACACACTGCAGAACATTGCTGAACTCACCGTGTCATCTCATTGGGGATCTTCCTCTCCTTCATTGACCCTCCATTTTTCTAAGCAGGATGTCCCTTTCCAAGGAGGTTGGTAGATGTAAAAAATAGTTGGCCTAGACCCCTGGCCCTCAGCATTTCTCACGATAACTTAAACTAGAAGTAAAATTAATGCTTCTTTCTGACACTTTAAAAAATAAGAAAGTTTGGGGTTTGGTATCTTTAGTTTTTATTCTTTTTCTCTCAAGCCTAGCAGAAGTGATTGTTTCAAAGTTGTTTACCCTGTTGCTCAGCAACTTAGAGAATTTATTACTTGGAGCCTTTCCTTGTCCTGTCAGGAATTACTCTCCCTGGGGTCATAAAACCTTGGAAGATACCAGCTAAAGCAGGTCTTTGATAAGGCTGGGTCTCCTTGCCTGGAATTCTTACCAAGCTTAGACATATTTAGACAGCAGGAGATACTAAGGAAATCCTCACTCAGAGTCCATATTGGCCCTATTTATCACCCACCCCAAAAAGCTTTTAACACTAAGGAAATCTTCACTCAGAGTCCATATTGGCCCTATATATCACCCACGCAAAACAGCTTCTAACAAGGGAGAGGCAGATTTGGAAAGCCCATACCCTGTGTCTCTCACTTCATGAATGTCAATAAAAATTCTTGTTTTTCCATTCTGATGCCTGTCTCCAAGATTGGGTTATTTAGTGGGAAGGGACCAGATAATCTTTTGTCCAAATTCTAGAATGTTTCTTTGGTAGTGTTCCTCTTCACTTACCCTACCTCTTCCCTGCATGATGTCTTGTCTTCTTCCAAGGGTTCACCCCTTCTGCCAGATTCCAGAACTCTCATAGTAGCAGTAGCTGAGCAGCAGTCACTGGCAGGCTCCATCCTTCTGCCCCATTCCTGAAGACAGTTTAAGAACTAGGGTCCAACCCTCCCAGAACCTGCATTTATTGTGGACAAGGATATCATCCATGAAGAAAGCAAATGGTCATTACAAAGATAGGAGAGAAAGAAAAGAACAAAGTGGATATCACAAGGAGATTCTGAAAATGGCCCTAGAATATGTTGCTGTTGTTAAGTGCTGTCAAGTCGTCAACGACTCATAGCAACCCTATGAAAGACCTGAGCACTGTTCATAGAGTTTCTGGAGGCAAGCCATTTCAGAAGTGGATGCCACTCCTGCTTCCAAGCTGGTTTTAATCAGGAAGCTCCATCAAACACTGTCCACCATGGATAACCATCATTTGACACATCAGTGTTACAGTGTTTAGCATCACAGCAACCACAAGTTACCTCTGTCCAGCAATGCACAGACCAGTGCTATACCACTTAGAAGGATGTTTGGCAAAAAACAATTTAAATCATGTCTGAGGGCTGCAAAATATAGAGAGATCAAAACAAAGGGAAGAAATGCTAACAAAGACAAGCTTGAAAAGACTAAGCAAAAATTTACAAAGAAATGTGAAAAGATAGGAATTTTGAAAGAACACACTTAGCATTTCAAAATATGAAAGAACTGAAAAAATAAATTCAAGCTTTACGGTTCAACAGAGATGGAGAAGATTACACATAATAGGGTGAAGTTCAGATTTGTTGTTCAAAGAGTTGCTGTGAGTCACAGTCTACCTAAGAACAGCAACATACTCTCCTGACAATTACGTGAAACAAATTTCCACCACCCTTGCCTCTAAGGAGTGCCTTGTCTTCTAGGACAGACTTGTGTGTTATTGATGAAGTCCTTGGGATATTTAGTTCTCTGATTCCAACACCACAGTTCAAACACATCATTCTTCTGTTACTCATGTTCACTGTCTAACTTTCAGATATACAGGAAGTAACTGGAAAGCATGACTTAGATCAGGCAGTTAAATTTTTAAACTTAAATTCTTGCTCTTTAAAACTTGGTATCAGACTTTCCCAATACAACAAGTCTTTTCTTTTTTTTAAGGTAAAAAGCAAACACAAATTTATAAGAAATGTTACATGTTAGAGAAATTAGAAAAGACATATCTTGATTGAACTATGACAGGTCAATCTCTAAAACCGAAGGAATGAAGAATGCAACAATTCATTTCTTGACTATTCCTTCCATAGATGTTGAGAGTGGATCTGAACAAACGGAAATAGTTGACAACTTCAACCTTTTCTCCATCCATTATGAAGTTGCCTATTGGTCCGGTGTTAAAGATTTTTGTTTTCTTGATGTTGAGATGTTTTAACTCTTCGTTAAGTGCTTCAAGTCTTCAAGCAAGATTGTGTCATTTTCACAATGCAGGTTGTTAATGTGTCTTACGCCTCCTAACTTTATGCTACATTTTTCTTCATATAGTCCACTTTCTCTAGTTATTTGCTCAGCTTACAAATTGAATTAAAAGGGGAAGGTGAAATAAAAAATATCAGAGGAGTTTATAACTTGACCTTAGAAAACAAAATGGGACTGGGGAAGCACTAAAACACTTTCATATGAATTCATCTCAGACAAACATCAAAGTTAAGTTGTAGAGGGATGTATGCTCACAGAGTTAATTAATTGTCTAATTGGAATATCACTAGACCAGCTTTTAGACAACCTCAATTTAGTATTAATTTTTTTATTATCATTATTTTTGTGTGTACCATCAAATCGGATCTGACTGGTACAGGAGGAGATTGTTCCTCCTTCTCCAGAAGAGCATCTGGTGGATTCGAACTGCGCACCTCTGGGATTGTAGGGCAGCTTCTTGCCACTAGGCCACCAGAGCTTCCTAATTTAGTATTACATGTTTAAGAAATACAGATCTAACTTCCATAAAGCCTTGAGAAATCAATTAAGCTGTGGGACTGGAAGAGGGAAGAATAATTTTCAAAACTGTCCCAAAGATCTTCAGCCAGAGTGCAGTCACAGTGCTCCTTGGAGGCATAGATGGTAAGATTCTCTCCAAAAATCTCTCATATTTTGGGCATATTTCCAGGAGAGGGTATGTCATACTTGGAAAGGTGGAGAGTCAGTGAAAGAAAGGAAGACCCTTCATCAATAAGATGGATTGACACAGTGACCAAAGCAATAGTCTCACATGGTCAGAGATGATGAGAACAGCCCAGGATAGGATAAGGTTCAGATCTGATGTTCATAGCATCGCTATGAGTCATACTTGACGGCACCTAACAACGAGGTGGTTGGTTAGCACTACCTCTTAGGCCATTCAGATCCACCAGCCATTCCTATGGAGAAAGATGGGCAATCTCCCTCCGTACAATTTACAGCTTCCTAACACTCACCAGAGGTTCAGCCAACTGAGGGTCAATTCCAACTCAACAGCAGTAAATCCAAGCTTTGGTTGTTTTGTATACTATTGATTGCCAAAAGAACAAACAACTCTGTGCCTTGGAGGAAGTGCCACCAGGGAAGCAAGGATAGTGAAACTTCATCTTACATACATTGAGCATGTTTTCAGCAGGTCTTGGAAAAGTAGAGGGGTCAGGGAAGGAGAGGGAAAAGCCAAAAGCCTGAAAGATTTTGAAGAGCAGCGTGAGAAGATAAAGCAAAAAATATAATGAAGGAATGTGCAAACAGCTAGAGCTGCAAAAGAAAAAGGGAACAATTTGTTCTCCATTTCCCAAGCTAAAAGACCTGAAAAATAAATTCAAACCTTGAGTTGCAATATGAAAGAA